TCTTTTTATCAATTCCAGAAACACAAAGTGGCTCAGCAGAGGGAGAAACCAAGTATCTGAGGACTCTGCTCTGGCTTTCCTCTGGCTCAGGATTTTTAGACTTCATTTGAACAGCTTTCCACTTTTGCCAGGGAGACGGCTGACCTGTAGAAAGGGAATTGTCAACCAGTAAAGCCTCTTCTTCAGAAAGTGCAAATCGATGGTGGCTGTAGAAACTGAGGATCTGGGGAAGATTTCCTGAAACTGTGTGTGAGTACCTGTAATCCCCTTGTTGTTCAGCCTCCTTGAAATTGCAGTATTAGCATCTCTCTCTCTTCCTGATCCATTTGCCCAGAGATGTTTCCACAACTGTAAACCCTCTCATGGAGAAACAGTTCTACATTAATTCAAGAACCCTGCAACAATGCTACCATCTTTTGTTTATCATTTCTTACACATGCATGCATTTAATTAATGCAGCTTGCTGTATCTCTCCCCATTTTCCTGTTACAACTTGGTAGAACTCATACATACACACACTCTCTCTCTCTTTGTGTGTGTGTGTGTGTGTGTTTCCGCATGTGTCTGCATGTCTCTGTAGGTTGTTCATCCCTTCTCTCTATTTCCAAAATCACAGTCTAGCTGCTATAGTTTCTGCATCTCCCATAGTCATAGAAACCACCTAGGCTACCGAAGAGATGCACATCACAGCTGGGCGGAGAAGGTAATAAGGCTGACAAATAGCTCCCTCTTGCTGACACCGCTGGATGCAATTAAGAGGTGATAGCTTGTGCAAGGTCCGCTGATGCGTGATGGTTTGGTGGTGAAGAAACTGAGGGTGCTGCGACTTGCACTGCTCCTTCATTCACAGCTTCCTTTCATGATCTGCTTTGGGGATCTTCAGCAGCAAATTCTGCTCAGTTTCCTCTGCAGAGAGGAATGGACCCTGTGAGACCGGAGGCCTTTTCTCTGAGAACCTCTTTGGAAAAGCTTTCCCTCATCATCCCTTGTTAATAATACAGACAAGACATCTTATGAAAAGTTTGCATGTCCTTTACTTATGTCTTAAGTATTGGGAATTGGGGCTTCAATGTATTTATTATTATTATTGTTGTTGCTGTTGTTATTACTTTGATTAACCCAATTTAGTTCGTGGACCCAAATTATAAAAGAAATCCTATGCAACTTACCACATAGTAGATTTGCATAGTACATTTCCACTGGATAAGATCAATTCTGTCTCAATAAGGATCATTTTATAGCCATGGATAGTCCTTTTCAATCTTTTCCTCATGCTCATGAACTCTTAGAATACCACTCAGGTGTTCTCCACTATATTTTTCACAGGCATCTATCTATGTATCTATGTACCTATGTATATATGTATCTATGTATGCATGTATCTATCATCTATAAACCATCTACATATCTGCTTATCTATGTATAACATAGTGCTGTTCCCATATAGAAAATTTTATTTAAGCACATCTCTGTAAACTTATTATTTGAAGACTATTATACAAATATGATTATGTAGATCATCTCATGCCTCAAAATCTTGCACTTACACACATACATATGTAGCATATAGTAAGATGTTCCTATGGATTTTCTATGCTAAGAGATGGCAAGAGTTTTACAGTGTGTTTTTTCTCAACTATTTTCTTCTTTTGCTTTGCATGGTATGATGGTCAGTACTTTATTTTTCCTTATCTTCTTTACCAAGGGATGATTTGGACTCATAGAAAATATTTGTTGTCTGACGAGTTAATAGAGACCTTGCTTCTACTTTCATCCTTTACTGTACCTTTATTTATTATGGTAGAAACTGATTTATATTTTCAATGTGCATAATTATAGTTCTTAGTGAAAGATCACAAAGTTTTTAGGGACTATTGACAGAAGAAATTCATAATATACTAGCCATTGAATTACACAATATCTGAATTATATGGAAATGTGAAAACCATTCTGCCCCTCCCTTACCTTTATAAAGCATGGACACATATGGATATAGGGAAGACACAATCTTCTATAACCTACTTACAGGCTTTCCAGATTGTATATATAGTTGGGAGCAAGGCATTGTCTGAAAAGGCTAATGCTGTTTATGCAGGGTCATTAATATCAGTGTTACACATACACCAATATGCTTAATCTAGCTCTATCTTGTTCATTGTACTTATTCTATGTCTTCTTTCCAAGCATAAGGTATCAAATTCCCTTCCTTCCTCCCTTCCTTCCTTCCTTCCTCCCTCCCTCCCTCCCTCCCTCCCTCCCTCCCTCCCTCCCTCCCTCCTTCCTTCCTTCCTTCCTTCCTTTCTTTTTCTTTCTTTCTGTTTTGGTTTCTCAAGACAGGGTTTCTCTGTGTAACAGCCTTGGATGTTCTGGAACTACCTCTGTAGACCAGGCTAGTCTCAAACTCAGTGAGTTCCACCTGGCTCTGCCTCCCAATACATGCACCATCACCGCTTGACCCCAAAATATATTTCCAAAGAGACAGAACTAAATTGACATTTGGATGTCTCTAAATGAAGCCCAAGGTTGATCACTCACTGAGGTCCAGAGTTGCCAAACCATTTTCTTTCTAGAGAGTAAGTGGAACCTCTCTCCAGGCTTTTTCATTGTGGCACGCTGCAGCTATTTTTGTCCCTTACAAGTGTTGTAGCAATTTAGCAATCTATAGACTTGACTTTTCCCGTAAACATGCTTCCTGTTGCATGCATAATTCAAATTCACACACAAATTCTGAGATGTTCGCTTATCAAGAGCTATAATTTAAATGTAACCTCTGTAGAAAGCCATTCAGTAGTGCCTTCTATAAAGTGTAATTTAGTCTGCAGAAGCAATCTTTCCCTCTACCTTCTAATATGTGAGCTTGTTTGCTAAATAATCATTGTAGCATTTTGCTCAAAGCAGCGGTTTTATGTATTTTTCCCCCACTACTCATAAATGTTGCCAAGGTAAATGAGAGTTCTTTGGAAACTGCTACTGTCATGTAGTTTTCATTTGAAAATGTCACAATAAAGCAGTACTCTTTGATGCCAAGATGCATGGAATGTTGGCACATGATAAACACAGTACCTAAGCACATAACGTAATGAATGGCCCGACTTCCTTTAAAATGAGAGGCTTTTTTATTGTTTTTATTTTAAAGGATCTGGATGGGGGTCAGGCATGGGAGTAATGTAGAATTTATACAAAGCCACAAAGGTGGGAGTTTAGAGGAAATTATTGTTATTTGCAGCTTGGGCCAAATGGAAAGGAAGAGAAATTCAGGAGAAAAAAAAGTACTTCAAATAAGTGAAACAGAGATTACAGTCCAAAATATGCCATTAACATCAAATTACAAAAGTCTTTTCCACAAGCCAGAAGGAGGCAGATTAAAAGCAAAGTTTTAAAGTGCAATTTAAAAAGTCAGGGGAACATACAAATAGAAGGAGAACCACATAGAACAGCAAATAGGGGAGAGGTACTTCTATCTATCTATCTATCTATCTATCTATCTATCTATCTATCTATCTCTCTCTCTCTATCTATCATCTATTGATCTATCTACCTATCTTCTTGCTATCTACCTACATATCTATATTGAGATATTATATATATGTACAATTATATACATACATATATAGTTACTATATATTCATTGTATCTGTACTACAATACATAGGAACATTGATTGGGTTGTTTGATTTACTGTATTTAGTTTTGGCAGTGCTTTGTATATATTAGCTACTAATTCTTTGTTAGATACATAGTTAGGAAATCGCCTCTCCCTTTTTGAGACTGTCTCTTCACTTTATTAACTGTTTCCTTTGCTTTGCAGGAACGATGTCACATTTGTCAATTGTTGGCATTATTTCTTGAGTGACTAAGGACTGTTTAGGAAGTAATTTATGCTTATATCTTGAAGTGTCTTTCTTAATTTTCTTCTCAGAGAGTTTCAGAATTTCAGGTTTAACATTAAGGTTTTTGGTCCATTTGGAGATGATTTACATATAGCATGGGAGCTAGTGATTCAGTCTCATTATTTTACATGCAGTTATCCAGTTTCTTCAGCACTCTGCTGAAGAGACTGTATTCGTGAATATGTATTTTTGAATATATTGCCCTGGCTAGTCTTATACCAACTTGACCCAAGCTGAGGTTTGAAAGGAGGGAACCCAATTGAGAAGATATTTCTGCAAGATCCAAATGAAAGGCATTTTCTTAATTAGTGATTTGTGGGGGATCATGCAGCCCATTGTGGGCGGTGCCATCCCTGGGTTGATAGTCCTGGGTTCCATAAGAAAGCTGGGTGAGAAAGCCATTGGGAGCAATCCAGTAAGCAGAACCCCTCCATGGCCTCTGCATCAGCTCCTGCCTCCAGGTTTCTGCCCTGGTTGCGTTCCTGTCCTGACTTCCTTTGATGATAAACAGCAAAAGGGAAGTGTAAACCAAATAAGCCCTTTCCTTCACAACTTGATTTTTGGTCATGGTGTTTCATCAAGTTGGTACCGATATTGTGGAGTAATTATGTGACAGACATGACCATGTTTTTGGGAGGACTTTGGAATTTAGGGCTAGAAAAGCTTTTTAGTGATGAGAGCTCAGTGGGATGTTTCTTTTGGAGCTTGGGAGATAATGTTAAGAGCAATACAGACGACAGAGGCCAGGCTTGTGAAGTTTGAAGACTCTATCAGGGACATTTGCTATTTTGAATTACAATCCTGTCTTTCTGATGAGCTAGGGTTGAAGAGTCAGCCATGATTAATAAGAAACCAGCACCACTGAAGTGAAACTTCTGTGTTACTGGAACAATTGATGCTGGTTAGCCAGAACTAAGAAATTACTGGCATTTAAGAAGAGACCCAGATCCCTGAGGTGAAATTTCCCAATGCAAGCTGTGTTCCAGAGCTGGCTAAGGTTGTATCTCATGCTGATAGCCAAACCTGGTAGTGTAAGAGTTACCCAGGTGGTACTCGTTTTGAAGGCATGAAGGGGTCATGGAGAGCAGCTGAGGCTTGGCACTGTGAGAGATCAGGAGAGGTTGTTGGTGAAAGTTCAGCCTCAGTAGCAGTCCCAGGATTGAAGTTTTGGTACCATAAGCAGAGCCTATGAGAGGCTTTTGGTGAAAGTGTAGCCCAGTTGTAGCAGAAGATACTAGTGTTTTGGAGAGTATCATGTGATGAACATCAAGAACAACAGCAGAGGTATAGTGGATCCTAGCTGGGCTTAGAAGACAAGCTGTGCGTCCTGCATAAGGTAGAAGAAGAGAAGTAACCCAAGCCCGTTGGAGGAGCTCAGAATATGGTGAGTGAATCCAGATATTGGACTCTTAGTTATTGGAATTTGATTTTGATCAATTTGATTGTGACTGTGTCCTGTTCCTGTGCCTTCTTGAAGTAAAACAGTAATTTATGTTTTATTTTACTGGAGTCCCAAGTTGAGAGACTAATTTTAAAAGACTTTGGATTTCTAAAGAGATTGACCTTTTTAAAGGGACTGAAATTTTAATGTGTTTGAATTTGTAAAGACTGTGGGACTTTTAAAAGTTATTTATGATTTTAATGTAAGATCTTGGGGACAAATAAGAAAGAGACAGTAGTGGTTTAATAGTGATGTGTTTGTCAAGTTGACAAGGGGTCACTTGTGCTGACTAGGCTTACATCAAGTTGACACAAGCTAGAGTCATTTGAAAGGAGGCAATCACAATTGTGGAAAATATGTCCATAAGGTCCAGCTGTAAGGCATTTTCTTAATTAGTGATTGATGAGGGGGGGCCTAGTCTATTGTGGATGTCTCCATCCCTGTGCTGGTGGTCCTGGGTTCTATAAGAAATCGGAGTGAGAAAACCATGAAGAGCACTCAGTAAGCATCACTCCTCCATGGCCTACTCCAGATTCCTGCCTGTTTGAGTTCCTGTCCTGACTCCCTTCAGTGATGAGCAGTCATGATATGGGAGTGTAAGTCCAACAAACCATTTCCTCCCCAACATGTTTTTTGTCATGGTGTTTCATCACAGCAATAGAAACCCTAAATTAAACATACATATTTATAATATTTTCCTTAAAATATGTGTTCTTCTTAAATATGTTTATTTTAACTCTATCATGACTTGAAATCAAGTATGGTAATATCTACAACATAGTTTTTGCTCAAGACTGCTATGGCTGTCTATGTTCTTTTATATTTTCTTATGAACTTTAAGATTATTTTATTTTTATTTTTGTTAAGAATGGCATTTGGATTTTGATAAAGGTTGCATTGAATCAATGGAACAAAGGGTTATTTGAAAATATAAATAATACTGACACAGTCTTAGCTAAACTAACCAAAAGAAACAGAAAGGAGGCCCAAAATTAATTAATTGGATTAGACATGAAAAGGGAGACATTACAACAGATACCAATGACATTCAGAAAATCTTGAGATGGTATCTTAGAAGCTTCTGTCATGTCAAATTGGAAATCATAATGTAAATGGATGAATTCTAGATATACATGACTTACTGAAGTTAAAATAAGGTACTTTTGGTAGGCTATCCATTCACATAATATTAATTGCTCCAAGCCAGGTGTTGGTGGTGCACATCTTTAATCCCAGAAGCAGGTAGATCTCTGTGAGTTTGAGGCCAGCCTGGTCTACAGAGTGAGTTCTAGGACAACCTCCAAAACAATACAGAGAAACCCTCTCTCGAAAAACCAAATAATAATAATAATAATAATAATAATAATAATTACTCCAACCCACAAACTCAGGACTTTCCAACTTCTAGTGTCCTCCTTAGCTTTTTCATGGTTTTAAAGTTTTGTTAAAGAGATCATTCACTTACCTGATTAGCTTTATTCCAAAAATTTTTTTTTGGTTCTTTACGAGACAGGGTTTCTCTGTATTGTTTTGGAGACTATTGGTCCAGCCCGGCCTCGAACTCACAGAGATCCGCCTGCCTCTGCCTCCCGAGTGCTGGGATTAAAGGTGTGTACCACCACCACCTGGCCCAAAATATTTTTAAAGGCTGTTGTTACTGCATTTTTCCTTTTGATTTCTGTCCCAACATGTTGGTATATGGAAAGATTACTATTATTATTATTATTATTATTTTGGTTTTTTGAGACAGGGTTTCTCTGTGGCTTTGGAGGCTGTCCTGGAACTAGCTCTTATAGACCAGGCTGGCCTCGAACTAACAGAGATCCGCCTGCCTCTGCCTCCCAAGTGCTGGGATTAAAGGCGTGCACCACCAACGCCCGGCTGGAAAGATTATTTTTAATGTATACATTTAGTGTGGATATCTTAATATATACATTTTAATGACTTTTGCTTGTTAAATTTGTATCTTACTACTTTGCTAAAAGTGTTTATTATATCCAAGAGCAATCTAATGATTTTCTGAATTTCATTGGTACCTGTTGTAACGTCTCCTGCGCTCCCTTTTTAAAGTTTCATAATAAAGGTCCTCTTTGGTTAGTTTTGTTAATTGACTCGTTGATTCCTTGTAATTTTTAAGGACATTTTAAATTTCCTTCTTGATTTCGTCAATGACCCATTCACCATTCCATAGTATGTTGTTTATCTCCATTAGTTCATATATTCTGTAATTTCTCTGATGTTGACTTCCAGTTTTTTCTTTATTCATATAAAACATAGGAAATTATTTCAACTTCCTATATTTGTTAAAACTTATTTTTTGAAGGACACCTTTTTCTAAGTGTACTTTTGGTATCATTTCCTTGTTATCTCTACTATGATATTAAGAATATTAATATTGTTTAGTGTGTGTGTGTGTGTGTGTTCGATTGAGGGGGTGTGGGGAGGAGGCAATAAATGGCTAGAAGATAATATGTATTAAATCTTGATGATATCTACATTGATGGTGGTTACATTACTCCTTAGACATTATAAATTATGACAACTAATGCATTAAAGTACAATATTGAGAATTTCAGCACATGCAAGGATTTACTGGTATGGCAAAAAAATCATATCACGGATGGTGAGATGGAAAATGACTGTTGCTTATTTTCCTAACTTTTAAGACTCATAATTATTGCCATCTATAGACACAATAGTATTTTTTAATAATCTGTTATATTATCACCCTGTGCAAGTTTGCTGAGTGGCCTGATATTATATTGTATACCCATAACCCTAGCATTTTAGAGATAACACAAGAGGATCCCAAACAAGGCTATCCTGGGCTGTACAGTGAGACTCTGTCTCAAAACTAATAAATTATTCCAACAAAAATATCTTTTCTTTGAGTATGACTACTGTGGGCCAATAACTCCTCATTGGCATTATACATTAGAGGCTGATTTTGCCTCCTGCTGTGAGACAGTGATTTGTAGCTTCTCAATGGTAAGTTTCAAGGAAGGTGCCAATGGCTTGTTTTCCCTTCTGATGTGTTTCATGTCTAATGTATCTCAGGGTATTAAGAGACTAACTCTATCCCTGTAATTTTTCACCATCTAAAGAACTACAAAATAATTAATCTTTTCCTATTATGGTTGCTTTTTTGATTCTGATTTCTTACCTTAGACAGAAGTTATTCATCATCCTGAACTATTAATTATTGCTTCCAGAGAAAACAATCACAACACTATGGAGCGTTCGACCATTGAGGAATTCTGAAAGAATGATTCTGGTCTAAAACAAATTTTAAAACAAGTATCAAAAATATTTCAAACAACAATAGTATCTCTACAACATGTACATTGATAATTGCTTCAAAGGAAAGTACTCATTTAGATACTTATCAGGAATTTTTTATTTTTGAGAATGTGTTTTAATTACAACATTTCTCCCTTTCCTATCCTTCCATTCTCTTAAAATTCGTGGCCTTTGTTCATTAATTATTGTTGCATGCATATATGTATAGGTATATATATTTATATTCCTAAATATAACTCATTTAGTCCATATAATGTTACTTGTATGTATGTTTTCAGGGCTGACCATTTGGCACTGAACAACCATTTGGTGTGCTCCTCTATGGGAAGGACCACCTCCCCTGCTTCCAGCTTTACTCAATTGTCTGTAGTTCTTTGTATAGGGTTGAGGCCTCATAGGCTTTCCATCGTACAGTTTGGCTGGTTTGCTGGTATCTTCCTTGTTCAGATCACATTTGGGCATTCATGCTGGTGAGACTTTATGGGTGTAGCTTTTGATATTCTATATAGATATATTCTGATAGTTGTGACAGTCTTTCTGGTCCCTGCTCGTCATTGCTCCCAGAGCCTTGGGTGAAGGAGTGTTTTGTAGATGTATCCACTGGGACTGGGTTCCACAACTTTACATATTTGATTGCCTGTGTTTTTTTTTTTTTTGGTTTTTACGAGACTGGGTTTCTCCGTATTGTTTTGGAGGCTATCGATCCAGCCCGGCCTCGAACTCACAGAGATCCGCCTGCCTCTGCCTCCCGAGTGCTGGGATTAAAGCCGTGCGCCACCACCGCCTGGTGATTGGTTGTGGTTTTTACTAGTAGTTTCTGTCTGTTGCTTAGAGCAGTTTCCCTGATGAGAGGTAAAGATTCCACTTATTTGTGGGTATAGGACAAATGTTCATAGATCAGGGATCTCTGGGCCCTATTTTTAAAGTGTATGGTGTCTTCAGCAGTAGGCCTTCATTCACTTCTGGGGTTTAACGAATGACAATGGCAATGGGCTGTATGTTTAAGCAGTCTCTTGCACAGCCTTTGCCAATAATGCAAAAGAAGGCCGTTTGTGTCTGGTATTGAGGTTTTTGTTAGGTAGTCTTCGACTTTGGAGGTTGTAGCAACAGCCCAAATGAGAAAATTTTGTTAAAATGGTATATGTATATTTATTAACTAAATTGCATGCATTGTAGGTGTTTTGGAGGGGGTACACATAGCTAATACTATGATTCCTTTTTCTGCCCTCCATGTTGTTATGGTACCTACTTCCCTTTTTCTGTATTTACCTCTGTGTCCCTTGCCTGATGGAGTCCAGTCTTTCATTTCTCTCTCACGCCAATTGCATCCTGTTATCCCTTTACTCTCCTCTCCTCTTCTACATTAATGTCCATCCCAATCCCTAAGGAGACCCAGCCTTCCCATTTCCTTTTTCAGATCACTCGGACTCGGCTATTCACCTTTGCCTTCCCCCCATCTTTTTATGAAGCTTTTTTTAGAAAGACTTCTTACTTTAATCATATTTTGTACATGTTATTTATTGAAAATTAAGTAGTGGGTCAATGCATTAATATGTCTTAGCTTAAGATTGTCTGCTACTTAGTAATTTAAAGACCAAAACATAAGAAAACATCCACTTTACTATGGATTACTTAGCTTTCTTTATTCCAAAAGTAATAATAATATTAATAATGATGATAATAATAATATATAATTATAATATCTGTTTTCTCATAACAGGTTATCATTAAAATTAAAATTACATTACTATACTTTGTGTTTGTTATCTTGAGTTAGTTTATAGATTTCTGCATAAGTGAGACCATAGCCCTAGATATAATGTAGACTTTCTAATAAGTGAGAATAAACGTGTTTTTTGACAACTCATATCTCCCTTTGGGTACTCCAGAGCATGGATCACATTCTATACCCACAATTTCAAAACTTGAGTTATGTTCAGCATTACATGGATTTATGAGAAGTATTCTGAATGACTTTGGTCAAAAGGGATATGACATAATGTAAAAGTTAACTTGAAAACAAGTACAGAATATGGGTCTAGGTCATGAAATTGATTCAAATAGCTTGAGGAAGGCAGTGACATTGTAACATGAAGTGGCTATTTTAGAAAGGAGTTAATGTAACATGGGCAAAGGTTGCCTATAAGGGATTCAGAATGCTTTTCAGATTAACCACTTTGTTGTGTTCAATGCCTTTAATAGACTTTTTCTGCTTGACTACCCTCAGAAGCCCTGTGTAAACCTTAGGTCCTTGACTCATCTTTCAAATCCAGTTGTGGCATCTATGAAGGTTTTGTACTGTTACAGTGGGGTAGTTTTCAGAACCAGCTGTGATTTTTTTTGATGAAGGACCTCCTGCTGTAAACCTTCATCATGGATGACTCATGTGAAGCTGGCTGTGTCATGCCACCAGAGGTATCTTGTCCATTATCTGTGTTAAACACTGGCTTGATCTCTGAGGAGCAAATGTGCACATGCATGTGTCTATGTAAATGTGTGTGTTTGTGCATGTGTGTGTGTGGTGAACCCAGGGCTATGCACATGGACCACTGAGTTACATCCTCAATGTTAGTTTATTTTTAAGACTTTTTTCTTTAAATCTAGCCCAGGTTGGCCTTGTACTCAATGACTTCTGACTCTAAAATGCTAGGATTACAGGCATGTGGCTCCGTATATGGTCTTGGGGCTCTCTTTTGTATGAGTTTGATATATCTTTGAATCTTTTCACCAGTTTCAGGTGCTTAGCAAAGCTGGAGCTTCGGCATGTCAGGGATAATTTCTCTGAAGCTAAGCCATTACTGCGGGTGTAATCAGGCACTCGGTGGTAAGTTTGCCGATGTAGTAATATAAACTGAGACAGTTTATGCAAAGAACATAATGATTCACTACAGGGGCTGGCTGCTCATTGTTATGAACTATCATAGTTACTTTTGTCTAAAATGTATGCCTCACAGTTGAGAGACAACATGTGGTTTGTGTCTTTCTGGGCCAAGTTTATCTCACTCAGTATAGTCTTTCCATTGATCTAAAAATTTCATAATTATAATATTTGTTATAGATGACTAGTATTCCATAGTGCATATGTACCATATTTCCACTATCTCTCCAGCAGTTGAAGGACATTTAAGTTTCCATTTTCTATCTATTGTGAATAGGACAGCAATGAACATGGCTGAGCAAGTCTCTGTGGAATAAGATGTTTAGTACTTTAGGCATATGTCAATGAGTAGTACGACTGGGTCCTATGGTAGATTTAGGTTTGTTTTTTGTAGGATTCTCCACACTGTTTTTCCAGAATGGCTTCACCAAATTGCACCCACCCCAACAATGAATGAGAGTTCCTCTTTCCCCACATCCTCTCCACCATCGATTGTCAATTGTTTTGATGGTATTTGCCCTTTGGACTGGTTTGAGATGAAATCTCAAAGTTATTCTAATTTATCTTTTCCTAATTGCTGAGGATGCTGAACACTGTTTGGGGTAATTCATAGTCATTTTATTTCTTCTATTGAGAATTCTCTGCTTAGATCTCTAGCCTATTTTCCTATCTATTTTAATTTTATTAAAAATAAAATTTGTATATAATATGTTCCCATTATAGTTTTTCTCCTATGATCTTCTTAGATTCTTTACATCTCTCTTCCCATCCTAATCCATGCCCTTTCTCTCTCATTGGAAACAAACAGACATCCAAATAATAAAATGAAGTAAAACAAAATAAAAACAAACAAATAGAGAAAAAAGAGCCAAAGGAGAAGCACAGAAGCATACATAGACTCCCACACACACAAACACATACACAAACACACACACACACGCACTCATACACATAGCAACCATATAAAAACTCAAAAAGTCAGGGTATATCTGCGAAGGACCTATAAAGCTAAAAACAAATAACTTGACAAAATATTATGACACCAAGAACCTCCAAAGATGCCACTGAGTTCATTTTGTGTTAGTCATCTACTTTCTGGGGGAGGGGACTGGCTTTACAAGTGGTTTGTATACCCAGGGGGACCCTTTTTGAGAGAGCTTTTTTTTTCACTTTTGAGTGGTTACCAATTACAGACAGTTTCTGGGTTAGGAGCAGGGATTTGTGTACACTTCTTCCTTTAGTACTGGAAATCTATCAGGACCAGACATGTGTAGGCCCTGAGCCTGCTGCCACAGTTTGAGTTCATATGTATATCGATACTGTTGATTTAGAAGGCCTTGTTTCCTTAGTGATCTCCATCACCACTGGCTCTTTTCACCTCTTCAGCAGGATTCCCTGAGCCCTGATGGAAGGGGTTTGAGGGAGACATCACATTCAGGGCTGAGAGTGCCAAGGTGTCTTACTGTGCACATTGTCAAGTTGTGGGTCTCTGTATTTGTTCCCATACACTGTTTCTCTTATGATGGCTGAGAAAAAAAGCTGATCTATGACTATAGTAGAATGTCATTAAGAGTTGGTCCAGAGCTGCATTGCTTTAGCAGAATAGTAGTATTTGGTCTTTTTCCCTGGCCTATCTGGTCTCAGGTTCTTGGCTACCCGAGCAGTGTTGGGAACGGGTTCCTCTCAAGGGGTGGGCCTTAAGTTCAGTCTGATAATGGTTGGTTGCTCCCACAAGCTTTGTGCCACTACTGCATTAGTATATCTTGCACAGTATAATGATCCATGTGGGACAAGAAGGGGATCTAGTTCAGCATGACTCAGTAGCCCATGCTGGTTCAAACTTCTAGAGTCTGACACCAGACAATTCATTTTAGGCATATTTAAGCATAGTCTAATTTGGGAAAAAAGTCCCCTGGTGTGACACAATCAATCCTGTGTGCACAAAAAGGCATGATTCCATTGAAACACATGTCACTTCTTCCATGATGATGGGTTCTACAGATTAGATAGTCTACATGTGTTATCATAAGAGCCTAGGGGAGGTCTGGTGTGGTCTTAGTCATGCAGATAGCACAGGGGTACCTAGACTATTAACCACTTTTACCTCCATCCTTCTGGGCAGAAAGTAAGTTATAAATTTCTTCCTTTGAAGAGACAACTGGAATGTTTAGCATTCCTGGTTTACTTAGTGCTTATCTGTGAGCACAAGGACTTGTGTGATCCCAATAGCTTCCCTCCACAAGGGAATGTTAGTTGTCCAGTCTTCTGAGGGTCTCCTGTGGGTGATAACAACTTTGTTGACTCAAGGTAACAATAATCACTTTTAACTCAGAGGAAACAGCCACTCAGTGTGAACATGCTCATGACTCAGTTATAAATACTGAAAAGATAGCACTCTATACTCAGCCCCTCTTGGGATCTGAGATGTATTTGAATTGTTTTGGCAATGCTTTTGATTTTTCTGGAGTTATTTTTTTCTTTTTTCTAAAGCAGAATATTTAATTAGTAGATTTATCTCGTAGGGATTTCAAACATGACAGGGTTGTGTTTTGAGCCAAAGGCAAATAAACATCATCGTTGCCACCTCCTTTAGTGCATCTTAGTTCCCTGAATCCATAACATTGTTGAGGAAAAGGGAAATTAATCTGCATAGGTTTATTGTAAATTGTTTTTCTTTCTAGTGGATTAAATTAGATTCCATTGTGTTCAGTACCTGGAACTTGTCTGACAATGTGTGAAATTTTATTATTTATGGATAGTTCTTGCTGATGATCATTAACATAGCCTTTAAAATGATTTATGTAAATTGCATATTTTGTCTACAATTTCATTTGTTTAGTTTTTGACATGAAATTTGAATTCTTTAAGAGTGTTTCATTTCTATTTGTGAGAGGTTAAATAGAAGGAGGAGGAAGAATAGGAAGAGGTAAAGGAAAAAAGAGGAGGAGTAGGAGGAGGGGAGGAGGAAAAGGAAGATAAAGAAGGGGGAATAGGAGGGGATAAAAGTGGAGGATGAAGTTTCTTTAGGATTAGTCACTTGATTATTGTTTATCCATGATTTTTCTTGAGTTAATTTAAGATATAACTCCCTTTTAAAATCAATCCTTAAGGGAAGTGTTATGCTTAAGAGTATAAGTTATGATATTTTAACACTCTAAACTCTGATGAAGTTATTGAAGGACTCATCATGCAAAAGAAAACTCCAGGGAAGTTATTAGCAATTGAGTTAGAATTTACAGGTCATGAGAGAATGCTAATTTTACCAACTAGAAGAGAAAGAACAAAAATGGTAGTCATTATGAATGATACGTGATGGTTGTATGAGCCTGAAATGTGAAGGTGATGACTCCACAGATAAGTGCAGAATAAACACATCCTGTGATACTGAGGGACATGGGTATGCCAGACATAGTTTAATGCAAATTCCCCTTTCTGATATCTAATTAATTACTGTGACTTGTCTCTTTGGATGGGAGGTCTTACTTGGTTCTGTGGCTTTGATCTGCTTAGGTAGGCTTTAACTATAGCCTAGGTTATGCAAGTAGATCCCCAAGCCTCAGCTACTCCAATAAAAACTTGTGTCTTCTCCCGATTGATTTGCATCTCCTACCTTTTCCTTGATTCATATAAATACTATAGTATCCTTAGTTTCCTTTTTCCACTAACTGTTCCTGAGGGTATAACTTGATCTTAAGAAATTAGGGAAAATGTATTTTAAAATTTTCCTTTTACATTAAAAAGTTCAGTAATTCATTTACAAAATGGAAACTGAAACCTAAAGGAGTAACATGTATTGTCCAATTGCAGAATTAAATAATGAAAAATGCAGTTGTATATGACATACCCATAGCTAGATGTTTTTTTTCTAGTATGTTGCTTTAATTACCTCTATTGGGGTGATAGCAAATTTGATCATCCCAAGGAATGAAAACTTAGACTTTGAAATATAACATCCTAGGGGCTGGAGAGATAACTCAGAAGTTAATAACACTGGCTGCCCTTCCAGAGGATCTGGGTTTGACTTCCAGCACCCACAAGGTGGCTCAAAACTGTTAATTTCAATTCCAGGGGACTGGATATCCTATTCGGGCCACTGTGGTACCAGACCCACAATAGTAGCTGTTCACTGACATACATGTAGGCAAAACAGCTATAGGTATAAAATATAAATGTAAAAAGAAATACAACAATATCTTCTACCTTAGAATTAAAAAGTATCTCTTTCAACTGGTCTTATTCACCAAAAAGTTACTTTTCTGATACATATTAAAGGGACAAAGCCCAAGAAATTGGGAAGCCAATATGTAAAAGGAGTCCTTAATTAGTCTAGATAATAAAAGGCCAGAGCCAGATATAGAGGGAAATGCTGAGATGAGAGAGGAGAAAGCCACAGCACACCTTACCTCCTAAGCATCTCCACAGAGAAGAGAATGTTTTCCTGTTTGTCCCTGCTTATACACTGTTACTACCCAACTACATCACTTCCTGCCTGTCTGTATAGACCTCCCAACCTCTATAGTTAGCTAGTGGCAAGTTCTATTGTCTGACTCCCAGACGGGCTTTATTTGTGCAAGAAATATATCACCACATATTCCCCCTTTTTTGTCTAAAAAATAAAAAAGTTATAACCAATATCAGAAAACTATGTAAATAAGAAAAATAACTATGTACAATATATACATGGCAATAAGTACAATGCCTACCTAGTCCATCAGAAAATACTACAAAGTCTATTCTTTCTTGATGTGTCCAAAGTCTTGTACCTAATTTACTTTCTATTCTAATATGCATATCAAATTATCTTTTAATGTCTTTTAAACCTATTACACTTAATACATCCATAGTGAGTTTCTTTACTGATTCTGGTAAACAGGGAAAACTACAACTATGCTATTTAGTCTTAGGCTTCCTCAGAAACCCAAGAAGGAAATAATATTAACTGAGTAAACAGGAATGTCGAGCAAGAGACTTCCAAAGAATGTGAGAAATGACAGAAACAGCTGGTTGCCTGGACTGTCACCCAATATTGCGCTGCTATGTTGGGGCATCCATCTTCAGCCAATAGGCCTAGCACATCTGACAGACATTCTGTGAACCAGGATATCCTGAAGAACTGGACCACCTTGTCTTGGCAAGGTTTGCAGTCACTTTTTTTGGTGTCCTGTATGTACAATTTGGATGGAAAACTGTCAGCAGTTGAGGCAAGGGTACTTTCTTGCCCAGTGGCTTACCTTTACCACAAAGAACTCAAATTTCATGTGTGATTTCTTCAATGCCCATCATCTTCTCTGATGTATATTGGTGCTGCCAGGAGCAGACATGTCTTGTCATAAAAAAGGACCTATGTTATTAAACCATATTAAATGCCATATTCTATAGATCTCTGAAGTGTTTGAAGATGACCTGTCTTTCTAATATGTCAGTTTGACGTTGAAAACATACCTGAAGTGACTACAAGTTTGATTGTTATAGTCGGCTAATTACCAAATTCCATTTCCTAGTTGTCGTATATAGTTTATAACAATAACTTTCAATGACTAGAAATTTGTATTACATAGTTAAATGAGCTGTATAAACACAACACCTAGAATATTGGAAACATAGCAAAATGAATCTCAAGTTTGTATCAACATATAACATTTGTATACAATTATAGAAGTCTAATCCAATGTAAAATATTTAAAGCAAGTAGTTGCTTTTTAAGAATAGATTCAATAATCTGCCTTTTTATCTGAACATCTCTATATCATCCCTTATTCTTTTCAGAGTAGATTCAGAAATCTATCCTTTTTATCCTACCATATCTGGATTCCTCTCCCTTTTTGTTAAATCAAAACAAAACCTTGGGTATAATCCCCTTTGTTCAACATTCTTCCTGATCATAAGCAATAACATTTTGCAACCAGTTCCCCTAAACAATGGAAAATATCCATAACCCAAAGAGTGACCAAAAACCAACTACCCCACTGCTTAGGAATGTGGGGTCAAGTTCTTAAAGTTGCTTCCTGCTGTCTGTGGGTGATGACATCTTTAGGGGATCCTGAAAAGAAAATTTTGGTTGTCAAGCTGTATCATTTGTTGTCCAGTCTCTGTATAATGGGCAAGTACATGGCTTGTTTCAAATGCTGGCTAAAGTAGTCTCTCCGGCTGGATCACCTTAACTAGTCACCTCAAAATTGTTCTAAACAGTGTCTGCAAAATTGCATCATCTCAGCAAGTTACCTCAAAACTGTTATGAACAGTTTTTAGTCCAAAGTTTATCTCTAGTTGGGTGTTGTGATAGTCCTGGTGAAATTGTGGTTGTGGGAATCCATCCTCCTTTTGGAGACTTCAAAAGTCGCTGTTAGGCATAGTCATGATTCACTGTAGAAAACTGATAGAGACTCAAATGAGAAATCATACATGAAGGTAGACAAAAAACTTTTCTAGGATTGATTAGTACTCTATGTGACCATTAATATCATGATAAAAATTATGAAATTAGTAGCAATACTATAGTCCTAAATATTTGTTTTCCTTCTGTTCTATTTCAGATGGATGTTCTGACATGAGGCAGAGATTTTATATTTTACTTTAACAAGCATGCTTGAGTTTAGAGGAGGAGAGAGCCATTCTCCAACTCCAAAGCCAGCTTTTAATCTTTACTTGGACTGAGGCTACAAAAAGACTAAACGGATTACATGTTTGTATAGAAGTAAGAAACAAACATTTGGGAAGAATTATGAAATTTTACCCTGTTGTAAATGTGCTATACCAATAGGCCAATTTACCCTTCTCCAACCCTAAATTTTGGGGAAGTTCTCCTTGGCATTATATCTATTCAAATGAAAATCATTTGTAAATATTATGGGTTAGTTAAGATTAAACAACCATGCTGCTTCAAGAACTGTCATCTCTTCTTGTTAAGAGGTATCCTGTTTAAAATGAATCCTTATAAATTTTGATGGTATCCATATTTTTTCTTTACCTGTAGAAACAAAAGCAAAATCCCTTCCTTCCCCAATGCAACATATGTCCCAGTTTCCATTCAAGAGTCAACATATCTTTGAAATACACTGGTTGGTTTAATTCTCTAGTTTTTCTCTATTATCTACGGTCTCTATGCAGTTGTTGTTCCCTTTACATTTGCATTTAGAAAATTCAAAGTTAATAAAGAGCTACACAATCTATTTTGGGGGTTCTTAGTTATTACTTCCTGTTTATTTAGCATATCCTTTAGATTTTTATTCAATCTTTCTATAACTGTTTGCCTTGTAGGATTATGTGGTATACCAATAATATTCTTGATATTATAATAAGCAAAATCTGTTTCATTTTCTTAGAGGCATATGGTGGTGCACTGTCTGTTTTTATTTGTGCAGGTATACCCATAATGGCCATAACTTCTAGCAAATGTGTAATTACTGAATCAGCCTTTTCTGAACTCAAAGCAGTTGACCATTGAAAACCTGAATAGGTGTCAATGGTGTGGTGTAATATTTTAAGTTTCCATATTCTACACAATGGAGCACATCCATCTGCCAGATTTTATTCCTTTGTGTATCCTTTGGATTACTTCCTGGAGGTAGTGGAATTTGGTTGTGTAAAGAGCAACTAAGACATTTTCTTATAATTTCTTTGACTTGTTGCCAAATGATGGAAAAATCTTTTTTTTCAAACCTTTGCTATTGACATGGTTTTTTATGGAATTCTGATGCCTTTAGCATAATTTCCTATCAATAGTTGATCAGTCTCATCATTTCCTTGTGCTAGAGGGTCTGGCAGACCATATGGGATCAGATGTATATTATATATATGGGATGATATTTGTTCCTGATTATGTCTTGTAACTCAATAAATAATAAATCAATTCTGTATCATCTGGTATAAATTCAGCAGTTCCAATGTATGAAACAACTATTTCTGTATATTGTGAATCAGTAACTATGTTGAGAGATTCCTTATGGTCCATTATCTTCATGAGAATAGCATATAATCCTGACTTTTAGACAGAATTAGTAAGGACCTAGGTCTATTTTGCTTACATTTTCTCATTTGTATCCTGCCTTTCCTGATTTATTTGCAACAGTATAGAATGTAAGGGCTCCAGTTATTGGTGTTTCCCTTACAATATGAGGAAGGATCCAGTTAGTCCTCTTTATAGGTTGAATTCTCCTGTTTTGGTGTAATTGTTGTTGACCTCTCCCAAAACATTACTACAAGCTCTTTGCCAGCATTCACTTTCTACCCACAACTTTTCAATTTCATCTTAGTAAAAGGTACTACAATTTCTGCTGGATCTATTCCCGCTAATTGACAAAGTCTTGGTTTATATGGTAAAAAGTTCCATTCTATTGTCCCCCCTGCATTAAAATTCCTGTAAGGGATGCTAGGAGGGTAATATGACTAGAATGCACTTAAGCTTTGGATCCACACTATCCATATGTACCACATGTAATTTGTCTTCCACCAAAGCCAATTCTTTCTCAGCTTTAGCTGTAAATTCCCTGGGACTATTTAAGTCCTTGTCTCCTTATAAAGTTTTGTTTAAATAAATCAGTTGATCTGGTTTTATGTCATAGATGGGAAGTGTCCCCTAGCAATCTCTGAATGTCATTAGGAGTCTGAAATTAATCTCTCCTAATTTGTACCTTTTGGGGCCTAATTTTTTGTAAACTTATTTTATAGCCTAAATAATTAATAGAATCTCTTCTTTGTATTTTTTCAGGAGTTATTTGTAATCCCCAGCAAGGCAAAATTTTCTTTACTTCTTCAAACATTCTTTATAAATTATCTACATTTGAATCACATAATAAAATGTCATCCATGTAATGGTAAATTATTGATTGAGAAAACTTCTTACATATTAATTCCAATGGCTGCTGTACAAAATATTAGCACAGGGTGGGGCTATTTAACATTCCCTGTGGGAGAAAATTCTACATCTATCTTTTATCAGGTTGTGAATTATTGTAAGTAGGCAGTGTAAGGGCCAAATTCTCCCTTACTTTTTCTTGTAAAGGTACAGTAAAGAAACAGTCTTTTAAGTCAGTAACTATAATAGGACAATCTTTAGGTAATAAGGAAGGCAACTGCATCCCAGGCTGTAGAAAGCCCATTGACTGAATTATTTTATTAATGGCTCTCAGCTCTGTAAGCACTCTCTATTTTCCTGATTTCTTTGTAACAACAAATACAGGAGAATTCCAAGGGCTGGTAAATTCTTCAATGTGTCCAGCATTTAACTGTTCCTGAACCAGCTGTTCTAGAGCCTCTAGCTTCTTTGAAGTCATAGGCCATTGCTCCACCCAGACAGGATTGTCGGTTAGCCATTTTAAGGGTAGGGCTTTTGGTCCCTCTATGAGTTCAACACTTGTTTTGTTTTGATTATGTACAGCCTGTATGGTCAATGTCTGTTTTATATAGTGCCCTGTAACACTTTTTCCATAAACATGAGTTTCTTTATGGTTTAATTTTGGTACTGGAGGAATGTTAATTTGGTTATTAAATTGTTGTAACAGATCACTAACCCAAAGATTTACTGCTATGTTAGCTACATATGGCCTCAACCTTCCTCTTTGTCCTTCTGACCATACACATTTGACCAATCTTGTGCTTTGCTTTACATGAGATAGAATTGAACATCTACCTCCTGAAGAGGCCAAGTAGGATGCCAAGATTCTGGGTTGAGGATGCTGATGTCTTCACCGGTGTCCAGATAATCCTTTAAGCATAACTTTATTGATTTGTACTCTTAGTTTTGGTCTTTGGTCATTTATTGAAGTATGCCAAAATATATGTTTTCTCTTTCATTCTTGAATTTTTGACTTATTCTCCAAAGATATTCTACTATCCAGAGCAGTAACATTTTTTACAATAGCCACTGGATTTCCTAGTTGTTCTGGGGAGGATTTTCCTCCACAGTGACTTGGAATGACTGGACCAATTTTGACATCAGGGCCTTCTAGAGGCCCCCAAGGAGTTTTCCAGTGTTAAAGGGTTTCCTTGCTTGTCTCTTGTTGATCCACATTCATTGGTCCAGTGTAGGATTTTGGTACATCTTCTGTATAGTCCATATGGTTGAGGCCTTCTGTTTAAGTTATTTCCAGAAGAAGCACTATTTCTGGGTATGCATTGTCTGCAATTTATTCTCAAATGGCCTATTCTACCACAATTAAAGCATTTGGTATTTTGATGTCTCCTTGTACCTTTGGAGATAGCTTCTCCTACCCAAGCCTCAGTGTTATAATCCAAAGACTCAGTATTGTCTGTATGCAGGATTCACTCATCCATTAATGCTGATCTGATCTTTAAAGGCCAAAGCACCTTTTCGCATTCTATATTAGCATTTTCAAAAGCTAGAGATTCAATGAGTACTGGTCTAGCTTCTGTGTCTGCTACTCCTGTTTGTACCGCTTTAGTCAGTCTTTGCAAAAAGTCACTAAAAGTTGCTTTGGGCCTTGTATAACCTTAATATACAACTCAGCTCTTTCCCCTACTTCTTGAATCTTGTCCCAAGCATTCAAGGCTGCTGTACAGCATAAGGGCAAGATATATTCATTGTACATAGCTTGTGTAGTTACATCTGCATAAGGTCCCTCACTAAGAATTTGATCTTGGGAAGCCTCATAACCTTTAAATCTACCTCGATGTTCAAGGGTTTTGTACTCCTCTCTCCAATATGACTTCCACTGCAGCTGTGGACCCAGTTCTAGAATAGATTAATTGAAGCCAGTCATTTGGAGTTATTCTATTTCTTCTAGCCCATGACTTTACTGACTCCCTCATACATGGTGAATGCATGCCATAAGAAACTACAGTTTCCTTAATATCTTTTAAATCTTTCATACATAAGGGCTCCCATTTGCAATCTGTAAATACTTCTGGGTGTTCATCATTTGCTGACTGTTTAGTAATACTAACAGACTATAACATAGCAGATGATGATACAACCTTTGGTACGTCATCTCTGACTTTGAAAGGTACTAGTGATATTAGATATTTTTTTATTCTCTTTTGTTTGTACCTTAGCTCCTGGTGTATCAGTTTAAGGTTTTCTATGGCATGTAATCTATTCACCATTGTTTCTTGGAGCGTTTGAATTTCCTGGACAGTAAAAATGTCTAAGGATTTTATTTCTTTCTCAATATATGTTTTAATTTAAATTAGAAACATGAATGTTTCACATGTCAGTCAGAGCTCCCTCTCCTACCCCTTCTCTCTTGTCCCTCCACCAGGCCCCCAGCCCCCCACCCAATCCCTACATCATTCCCCAGGGAGGGTGAGGCCCTCCTTGGGGGGGGATCTATAAAGTCTGTCATTTCATCCTGGGCAGGATCTAGGCCCTTCCCCATGTGTCCAGGCTGAGAGAGCATCCCTCTATTTGGAATGGGCTCCCAAAGCTCATTCATAAACCATGGTGAACGCTGATCTACTACCCAAGGCCCCAGTGATTTCTGTGGCCTCCTCCCTGGCACTGCATTCAAGGAGTTTGGATCAGTTCCCTGTTGGTCTCTCAGCCATCATTCTGGGATTCAAGAACTCCCCCCTTATCCGGTCAGCTGTCTTTGTTGGTTTCATCATCATGGTCTTGACCCCTTGCTCATCACTCCTCCATCTCTGTCACTAGGTTCCAGGAGTTAAGTTCAGTGTTTAGCTGTGGGTATCTGTCTCTGCTTCCATCAGTCCCTGGATGAAGGTTCTAGGATGGCATATAGGATAGTCATCAACCCTATCATCAAGGAGGGGCCTGTTAGTGTAGTCTCTCCACTATTATTTAGTTTGCTAGTCGGTGTTATTCTTGTAGATCTCTGGAGTTCTCACTAGTGTCAGCTCTCTCCTCAAGCCTATATATAGTGACTTGATCTATTATAGTATCTCTCTTCCTGCTCTCCTATATTAAATCAGTTAGTTTCATGTTCTTATCTTTTACATATAATTTAATATTCTCATCCTTAGATGAGTTTATTTGAATGGCATGCAGATTACCTTTCAATATTCTATCTGCAAGCTTATCAATACTCTTAGACATGAAATCAATTTTTTCCATTAAGAGTTCATTACCATGTTAACTTTTGTGAATTTTGTTTTTCAAATTATGATTTTTAGTCTGTAAGTCTGTATCATTTCTATAAGTTCCTTACTCTTAGACCTATTATCAAACCATTCCTTGAAGGATATGATATGAATT